TCCGACTCTTCCTGTTATGAGCTCTAAGTGGCAATTTTTCCGAGGGTCATTTTCTTAGGATGTGTTGAGAGGACGGCCACAAGGACAGTTGAGGCATTTCAAAAACAAGCCTACTCCCAGGAAGAGTGCCGTCAGCGGCCCGACTGGGTTTCCTATCCTCTCAGCAGACGTGAGAGGGAGCGACCTCCCCTGTGAGTGTCGCCAGTCGTCTGATTCTTTTATAAGTCTCTAATGTTTTGAGATTTCAGCACAAAGCCTGGGAACGGTGTTTGTTTTGGTGGTGACTAATGTTGGCTCATGCCACAGAGCGGAAAATAATAATAGACTTAATAATAGACTTTCAAAAATAGGAAAGGTGGTATAAATACTTTGCTTTTCCACCTGCAAAGATTTATCTGACATTGTGTTAATTTTTACCTTCAAAGTGGCCAAAATTTGAGTGAAGTGCTTCATGTCCATTGAAGAGTTCGAAGAGTTTTAAGGAAAAAGAGGACAGCAATGTATTTTATAATGCCTCCGTGTCTGTGTCTGTGCTGATCCCCTCATAGTGGACGTGTCAGTACGTGATCTGCAAGCGGAGATTGAGCGACACCTGAAGGACGAGAGACGCGGCGAGCGGCTTCGCAGCGGGGTCCAGGTGGTGATCGCGGGAGCTGCTAATGCAGGGAAAAGTAGCCTTCTGAACAAACTCTGTAAGAGAGCCAGAGTTGGACACACCCTCACATACAGCCAAAGGGTCAAATTATAATGCACAAAGAATATTTTTAATATATATTTTGATGGCGAATCAGGGAAATAGATCTCTGTCATCTCAGAATGGAAAGAGTGAAATGTGTGTGAGTCAGAGGAAGTCTGTGCTGCGTCCCATCAGGCAAACCAGATTTTTCCTTCTCATCAGAAGTTTTTAGCATCTGTTTGAAAAAGTGTAAAAGTTTCTGATGGATCGATCCGGTTCATCCATCCAGCAGCATCAGGAACGACTTTAGGGAATCGCAGCACATTTGGTGCAAACACCAACGTGGAGTCAGAGACGAGCCAATCACAGCCCAGCGTCACTCTGACCACAGTGAACATGTTTGTG